TTAAGTTAGGTTTAATAACAAAATAATTTCATTTAAGTTTAATAATATAATTTTTTATAAAGATAATAATTAAGTATTCTGTTAGAACTCAATAATTATCCTAATTATATTTAAAATGAGATGTTTATCCTGTATTTGATTATGTTTATCTGCAGTTAATAATACGAATTCAAATATTGTACTTATGTACAATTTACTTGTAATCTTAAATTTTAAGTGATATGGATCAATAAACAATATTTAATGCATAAAAGATGGTTTTTAAGAGTTTTTATCAAATGCTTTAAAATATAGTGTGTGTGTGTATATATATATATATATATATATATATATATATATATATTCAAAGGTTATTTTAAGGAATAGTAAATATTTGAGAAATAAAGAAGTGATCATAACTCTTTATATGGACAAGATTGGATTTTATTGGTCAATAATTGTGATTTTGACTAGTCAAGAATTACGGGTTTGACTGTTCAAAAATTACGATTATATAAAAAAATAGAAAGGATAGTTTTGTAACTTTTACAAATAGACGACAAATGGATACATATATGAACCTATGTGATTCACATATGAATTATATGTTCATATATGAACTCGTGTAATTCACATATGAACTATATATTCATATATGAATTATTTTAACTGATTTACACATGAATTAATTAATTGATTTACATATGAACCCTTGTTATTCTGACATGAACCCATGTGATTCACATATGAACTAATTAACTAATTCATATATGAATTAGTTAAAGAGTTCATATGTGAATCAATTGATTGGTTCATATATGAACATAAAGTTCATGCGTGTATCACATGGGTTCATATTAACACATTTGTCGTATATTTGTAAAAGTTACGAAACTATTTCTCTATCTTCCACATACCTATGTGAGGAGTTTATGATATTTCACGTTCAAAGCTGCAAATATTGACCAGATGAAGGGCTATGATCATTTTTTACTTCTCAAATGAACATTTTCATATATATATATATATATATATCACAAAAATATTAGGAATCTTGAGAACCAATCTCAACCATGTAATAATCACTTTAATCTAATAATCTTAATTAATGTACCATCTATAATTAAAAGATATGAAGGTAATATTTTCTTTTCTTTATTATTTCCACTTTCCTTTTTTACAGGTATCAAAAGTAAATTTAGAATAAATTATTATTTTGTTTTGATTTAATCTTATACGATGTAATTTATATGTAATAATAAGAGATAAAAATATTCTTCTTGTATTTCATTTTGAATAAAGAAATCGAATTGGAAAAGTGCAAATGATGAACGAAACAGAGTCAGCTTTGTGAGTCAAAATTAGACTCAACATCCTGAATACATAATTCGGGTTATGTTTGTTGAAGAAATGGGTAAATTTCAAAATATTATAACATCTTATTGAGAATATGATGAATTGAAAGAGATTGAGTCAATATTTAATACCAGTAAAATGTTCAAACAAGGATAAAGTGAGATTTTATGTTTCTATGATGGAAATTTAATGTTTTATACCGGTGGAAAGTGGAATTCTTATCCAAACCAGATAATTTGCGAACGTTTTCGTAAATGGAGTTTACTGACTGGTTGAAGAACAATTTTGTTTTAAAGCTGTAGTCGGACAATTAGATGGAAATTTTTGAAATTGGAACAAGGGATATGATTATCATGTATGAGAGTATCTTGAGAAATTTCTGAACCTTCTTGATTTATAGAATATAAAGTTTTTTAAAACATTTTTAACAAAGTGTCACATTAACAATTTTGTAGGACACTTGAAAAAAGTGTCCCATAAAAATATGAGTTTACAAGACATTTTCTCAACAAAAAAAAATCCAATAAAATTGGTAATGTGACATTTTCTATTAACAATGTACTAAAAAACTTGTTAGAACATCTAAAAACGTCATATAACTTATTACAACAGTCTTTTTCCAACAACTATGTTATTTTAGAAATTTTGGAGTTGGTCGGGATGATGGATGTGTTTGTGCTTAGGGCGATAAGTTGATCAAAAGCAAGAAAACGTTTGTGAATATAAAAACGAGGCCATAGACTCTGATGTGGATTATAACGAGTAAGAAAATGTTGGTGACGACTTCAATCTTTATTCATGTATAAAAATCAAAACCTAGTACTCGATCGTTCCCTCTAACCTCTCTATATCAGTCTCCTCCACTTCAAAAGAACTCGACGTCGAGTTCTTTTGAGTCAGCATTGCCTCGTAGGCATGATACTCATAGATGTCAGCTACATTGAAAGTGTTGGAAATGTGTAACGAATCAGGAAGGGTAATGACATGCACGTTATCGTTGATCTTCTTTGCGACTTTGAAAGGACCACACTTCCGTGGTTGTAGCTTACCATACGTTCAACGGGAAAACGTTCCTTCCGAAGGAATACCGTCACTTCATCTTCCTCATGGAAGATCTTTTTCTGACGATGTTTATCCATTGCCGCTTTGTTCTTTAATTTGGTTGTTTCGAGTGGAGTTTCGACAGCTTCCTTTGTTGCTTGAACTTCCTTAGCCATATTTACCATTGTTGTGCTAATTCTGGGGTCGTAGGGAAGTTTGACTAAGTCGACTACGTGTCTTGGTATTGAAATGAAGACCAAGGAGAAGGTAAAGTGACCGGTGGCGATGTAAACGGCGTTGTTGTAGGCGAATTCGATCTGGGCCAAGGCTACATCCCATTGCTTCGGCTTGTCACCACACACGCTTCAGAGCATATTCCCCAAGGTCCAGTTAGTAACTTCTATTTGCCGTTGTTTGGGGGCGAGCGGTGCTACTTTTCCTGAGAGTTGTTCCAAACATCAGTCAAAGCGTAATCCAAAAGGGACTAAGAAATTTGGTGTCTCGGTTGGATGTGATTCACTTTGGTACACCATGTAGTCGCACTTCTTCTTTGACAAAAATTCTTGCTATATTACTTGCAACGATTGTCCTTTTGCAAGCAATAAAGTGGTTTATTTTCGAGAAACGGCCAACCACTATGAATATGGAATCCCCCCTCCCTTTTGAGTACGGGGAAGGCCCAACACGAAATCCATAGAAATATCTTAGACAGATGTCTTCTGGGACTGGTAGAGGCGTGGTGTGTAAAGTCCGGTCTTCTATGATCTACCCTTCGCGGTTTGGCAAGTATAACACTTTTTACAAGGGAACCCGCATCCCACCTCAGGTGTCGTCAAAAGTACCTCTCTTCCAAGCTAGCAAAAGTTTTGTCTCGTCCGAGATGGCTGCTTAATCCTCCACCGTACAAGTCTTGGATCAATTTTTCTTGTAAGGAGGAGTCGGGAATGATTATTTGGATGCATTTGAAAAGGTAACCGTCTCGAACATAAAAGTCGCCATTAGGGGTGCCATTGGTACACTTCCGTCATACATCTTTAAAGTCACTATCTTTATTGTAGAGTTCTTTCAAGGTCTCAAAACCAACGACTTCTTGTGACAAAGTAACTAGTAAGGTGGCCCTCCGGCTAAGTGCATTGACCACTTTGTACTATGTGTCGGATTTATGCTTAATTACAAAAGGGAATTTCTAAAGAAAACTTACCCGACAAGCGTGCATCTTGTTGGTCGGTTTCTGACTATTGATGAACCAAGTAATGCTCCGATTACCTCAAGGCTCAAACCACCGCATAGAAATCTTGGTCGCGCGTGCTTCACTATTGTCAGGCCTCGCATAATTTTTTACCATTGAAGGCGATCAGTCTTCTTTCTTGGGATAGGACAGCACCAACCCCAATGTCGCTTGCGTTGCATTCTACTTCAAAGAATTTCTTGAAATCAGGTAAGGCTAGAACGGGAGCGATTCTAAGCTTCTCCGTAATTAAGGTAAAGCATTCGTCTTGCTCAGGACCCCATTGGAACTTCCCTTTCTTCAAGCATTCCATGAGCAGGAAGTACACTTCTTCAAATTGACATAAAGCTTATGCTCTTGCAAGGCCGTCAAGACCTTGGTGTTGATGGCCCCTTCTATCGTGCGCACCATAGTGGTCTGCCCCTACGCACCATAGCGGTCCGCCCCTGTTATGGTTTCCGACAATGCATGGATTTCTCACAAATTCTATTATAATTATTACTTTCCTCTCTGTCTCATATATTCAAAGTTGTTTCATTCAAAGTTTTCGCTTTTGTATTGGAATATTTGATTTTTGGTCAAGATTTTGATTATAATTTTTGTAGATTTGACTACCGCTTTCATAATTCCAATTTCTTATTTCGATTTATGGGTTAGTTTTTTATTTTTATGCTTCTGATAATTTTCATGTGATGGTGATGGTGATGAATTGACTCGCTTGTTCAACTCATCCAGCACCGATTTCAACAACTTAATTTGAAATTCCTATTTTGAATTTTGGAATAAGATAGTAGGATTTGCCGATCTGGATTTAATTGGGAACGAAATCAGTATAAAACACAAACCCTAGAATCGGGATAGAAATTTCAGATAATTTCCAAACATCGAAATCGAAACAGATCTGGAAAATTGATGTTGGATCCAGCAAGATTGATGAGCATAGGCTCGTGAAAACAAAAACCCTAGAAATTAGTAGATCCCAGAAACAAAGATACTAAGAAACCCTAACCGTTTCAATAAGCTTTAAGATTGAGTTTCGACGGTAGAGCTTTCCTCATCGTGAACAGTTGAATCCTCATTCAACGTGGAGGAGGCTGCTGCCGGCGAAGCGGATCTGGACTTCATGTAATCAAGCATCCGTTCGCTGATTTCTTTCGAATAAACCTGAAGGATTTCGATGCCGTCATCATCGGCAGGGACGGATGCGGAGGAGGCGGCAGCGTAGGCCTCATCCTCCATGCGTTCGGCGACGGCGGTGGCTTCTTCGGTAAGTAAGGTGCCATAACGTTTAGAAAGGATGGAAGTGGTGGAAAGCGATTCCACAATGCCTTTCTTGACGGCATCGCGAGTTCTCTGCGTTGGCGGCCAAATGCTAAAGGAAATGTTCATCTGCTCCAGCTTGCTGGTGGCGTCGTCCATCTGTACAGTACTACTGCTCTCTGCTTTGGCCGCCATTGTTATCGTCGTCTGTAGGCGATATCCTGAACTCAGTTTTGTGTTTACGATTTATTTCGATTTTTTTTAAAGGAATTATTAATAAAAATTAAAACGGCAAAAATTTAATGGAAAACAAATAGAGTCCAGAAATTTTGAGTGAATTAGGGCGTCTTCTATGTGATGATTAAAACAAAATAAATTAAAGAAAAGGGTGGTATCTGATTTATTTAAGTTTGGCTTTAAAGGTTAAAAGTATTATGAGGTTTCAGATTCAAATCCAATGAGTAATAAAAATTCCCTTATAACTACGGAAGTTTAAATGCGATGACTCTGGACTATCTGCAAAACAGGTGGTTGCCTTGAGATTAGTCGACTCGCATAACGGATTAGATATCCAGGTTAATAAAAAACAAAAGAAATTAATTAAACTATTCATTTTTATCGGTTGTTTTCACTTCTTAACCATTTTTTTTATAAGATCTATCAAAATAGTTTTAGATCCATAATTTTAATTTTTTTTGTAAACCTGGATGAAAAATGTAATTGACAAGTTTGCAATTTATAAAGGAATTAAATTGGGAGAAAAAAAATAAGTTTTTGAACCAAATTTACAATTGTGAGAACAAATCTACAATTGTGAGAACTAAATATGTAAATTTGGATAAACGCATTGCAATTGCGGACTAGAGCTGTTTACGGGTGGGATGACCTGCTAGACCCATCTTGTCCGGTCCGTTAATAAGCGGGCTTGAATTACCATTCTCGAATAAATAGGCGAACTTGTACTGACTTGTTAAAATTAATGGATGGACATGGGCAATGGAAAAAATATATTTGGACAGGCCCTAGACGCCCATTAATATTTTTGTAATAATTAAAATTTACAGATAAAATTGGGGATTCTTAATACTTATCAATTTCTACTTAATTATAACTTATGATAATAAAATTCTTTAAAAATCTTAAATTTGAAAATATAATTAACTCAATTGATCAATTCCTTATTATCTCATTTAATAATTTTCTTTATCGATACTCCATATTTGGCGAGCAGTTTCTTTCTAAAATATGTATTTACATCAAATTTTAAGTTGAAATTTTTTTACATGTATTTTGAATTATTTTACATAACTTGTGATTTTATATAAGTTTTATTTTCATAAAAAGATAACTATATTATTAAGTTGTTAGCCCGTAGGCAAGTTCGGCCTGTTTGTAGGGCGAGTATGGGTAAGTTTTCAAGCCCGTAAAAACGGGCTTGATTTTACCATTTTAGGCCCGTTGGACAAAAGAACAGGTTAAGCCTAGCTCAGGTCCAACCCAAACCCGCAAATGATCAGCTCTATTGTAAATATATTTGTGCCGACCTATAACTAATTTACATATTTATGCCTTGTAATTGCAGATCTCTGGTTCAAAATTTTCTTTTGCATTTTGACACCTACGCAAATTATGGACCTTTCAATGGCGGACTTGTGGTTATTTTCATTGTTTTAAGAGAAAAATGTCTAAGAGATAAAACTCACCATAAAAAAGTGATTAGTTTAGTTAACGTCTCTAATTAAAATTCAACGTCAGTACTCGATTTTCATTTTGGCTTTCCGATTGCAATAAATAAAAGAAAATAATTTAAAATAATCATTTATACTGGTTGATTTCACCTTTTAGTCACCTTTTTACAAAGTTTACCAAAATAGCCCTAGGTTTGCAAGTTCAATTTTTTTTTCTTTAGATCTAGGTGGAAAATGTATTATTTTTTTTGCAGACCTAGGTGCAAAATATAAACTTTTTTGCGGACTTGGATGAAAAATGTAAATATTTTTGCAGAAAGTGATAGAAAGTGTAATTTTCTTGGTCTTTTAACTGGATTTGTAATTTTGGACGTGAGTTTTACGAACCTATAACTATTTTAATAAAATTGGAGAGAAAATGATTAGGATATGAAACCAACCTTAAAATGGTTATTTTAATAAATTCGCCTAAATAAAACAATATTTCTTTTTATGAGATATGGGATCATTTGAGTAGACAATATTTTCTAAATTTTATTTCTCATTTTGAATTTTTATCAAACTAGTTGTGTACTCGTGCAATGCGACGGAAGCCGTGAATTTTAACGATTTTAAAGTTTGACTTGTTTTATTATAGAAGATTTAACAATGATATAAGTTACACTTGATCTGTACATATTAATACAATTTAAATAAATAAAAGTTATGATTCTAATGACAGTGTCTCATATATATATATATATATTGGATGCATTACAAGATTGAACAATGGTATAACAAGTCAAAACCACAAATCACACCATATGGTGTGGTAATTAAAATAAAATTTAACTTTTGTTAGACTTTTCTCAAAAATATTTCTAAAAGTTACAAAAACATTTTTCTAAAATCCCTTTAAGTTTTAACTTTTGAGCTTTGACCAATTAAATAAATAAATATATATATATATATATATATTTTATTTATCAAACCATATTAAAGTATCTTTTAAAATCTTATTAAATTAAATTTATTTTCAGTTTTAGCGATAATTGAACCGATTAATCTGAGATAAAATAAACCAATTAACAAAATTATCCTACTTAGTTACGCAAAGTTTGAAAATTATTAAAAAAATGAATAAACCAAAAATCGAATAAAATGACCAATTCAATATTTAGCAACCATAAGCTAACTTATTTTTTGAACTTATTGCAAAAATTCCGTTTTAAATGTCCATAAGCTAACTTATTGAAACACAATTTATTTGCACTTTGTTTTATGCACTTCTATATCGAACATGAAGATCTCACATAGGACTGTGTAGACTTACAAATGTATTTCGAATTTGTATTTGAACTCGACCTTGTTTTGGGTACGAAATTGGCATAAACCCCATTTTTTCAACAAAACTTGGAGGCTACACCATCCAAGAATCGCGATGTGGGAATGTGGCTTGTTGCGAGTCATTTTGTCTTTGGGGAGGATTATCTGATCGAGCAAGCGAGGGTATTTAATTTGAAAACGAACTTCTACATCAAAACATTTGATGAATAATTCCACATTTCCCATTGAAGGCCAAAATTACTCGGTTTTGTGAATCTCGACTCTCTTGTTTTCAGTACGAGATCCAAGATTACCAAAGGATTATTGATACAGTGATACTCGGCAACACTTAATATTATCTTCTTTCATATCAAGATTTTAAACTTCACCAAATATAAAGAGTGGGCATGAGTTACCGGATACTGCTCGTAACCATATGATATCCTCATTATAGCAATAAAGGGCTGATCATATACAGTAACACCCGACAAAATCCGGCCTCACCTTCGGTGGTGCCACCATGCAATACTACCTACAAAACAGTAATTTTATGCATCTGTTTTCCTTCACGGTTACTTCTAAGACAAGCAATCAGAAAAACAATGAAGTTTATGTATAAAAAAATTAATCTCCAGTTTGGCTACAGTTTACATGTTTGAGTCCCAAATATATATATTCTAGAAAAACCCATGAAAAATATTAGAAAAAGGAATATTAATACATCAATGGCCTGGTCCTCGTTTGCTTGGCCCAGAAGCTAACTTGTATGATAATGATCTCATCTTCAGCCTTCGACTTCTTTTGTTGCTGCTGTCAAGATTATTGCTGAAGTTGTTGGCTGAGGCGATGCCAAATTCCGCCATCCCTCCGCCGCTTTCTTTGCATTCGGTGGTGGCAATTGTAGTGGTGATCAGCGGTGTTGGTTGAAGACGTCGGCAATGGACAGATCCAATCAATAAAATGATAATGCCAAAAGCAAAACAGCAATCTCTCAATACTGCCATCTTTTGAGAGGAGTTGTTTAGTTGATTCTGTATAGGCTTTATTTGCTTTCCGTACAAGGAGGCGGCGGCGGTGATGGTGGTGGTGGTGGTGGTGGTTGGTGGTGTGTCAGTGAAGAAGAAGAAGAAGATGAGCAAGTAATATATAGGAGGAATAGATGGAGCGTGTAAGGACGGTGAAGGGCTTTTCCATTAAGCTTGGTCTCATAATCCATGAACTACTCTGGAATTTGACCTGGCTGTCTGCCATTTAATTACATTAACCTACCTCCAACTATTTCTGATTTTAAACATCAACCCTTCAAACTTTTTTTCAACAACTTTTGATTTGCTCACAGCACCGGACTTGACAGAATTCGCTACACGATATTAATGAGGTAGACCGTAAGAAAGAATTACGAAAACTTTGATTTTTTGATGATCAACCAGTAAGGTAAGTGACAAATATTTGAGAGAGGGGTTATTTGCAAGAATATGAATAGTATGAGGTAGTTAATGGTAAATTAACCAATTCAAAGATCGGCATGTTGACCGCTGCTTGCCGGTTTGAAATTTAGGTGTGTGAACCCAATAACCTGGTGACGAACATGGACGGGAGAATTTCGGTCTGTGATCACGTTTTGACCTTTTTTACCCCCTAATAAGCCACGCTTATAACGCCACACCACACGTATGAAGTTGCTTACGTCATCATGACCAACATTTGACCCTCATAAAAGTCATCTTTAATCCAAATTTTAAAATTAAATTCTTTATAAATTTTATTTTTTTCATGTTATATATAAAATAATGGTATAAAAAAACATTTACGCTTTACAGAAAATCAAATTTCAACACGAATAAAAGTGAAACGATAATATTTTTTTATATTAAAAAAAACCCGAGTTAAATACCATATTTAAAAAGTCATCAAATGACCAGCGCATTCACTATTTCACTATTGATTCGACCGACATCCAGTGAATTAGTTAAAACTCTTTTTTATTTTATCAAATACTGTATAATTTATTTTTCAGATCATTTAAGAATTCTTTAAGTGATTATTATCAGTATTTGTTAGGTACATTTGGGTTTTGAAGTATCGGTTTTTTCGATTATAATATTCTTGATTTAATTAATCGGTTTTTAATTATAATATATATATATATATATATATATTTAAATTAATCCTAGTGACATGTTGTTTAATAAGGT